TTTATAACAATAAATGCCCACAAGGGAAAGCAGGAAAGATCTAAAATTGACACCCTAAAATCACAATTGAAAGAACTAGAGAAGCAAGAGCAAACAAATCTGAAAGCTAGCAAAAGACAAGAAACTAAGATCAGAGCAGAACTGAAGGAGAGACAAAAAAAGGCTTCAAAAAATCAATGAATCTAGGAGCTGGTTTTTGAAAAGATCAACAAAATTGATAGACCGCTAGCAAGATTAGTAAAGAAGAAAAGAGAGAAGAATCAAATAGACGCAATAAAAAATGATAAAGGGAATATCACCATCGACCCCACAGAAATATAACCTACCGTCAGAGAATACTACAAACACCTCTGTGCAAATAAACTAGAAAGTCTAGAAGAAATGGATAAATTTCTGGACACATGCATTCTCCCAAGACTAAACCAGGAAGAAGTTGAATCCCTGAATAGACCAATAGGCTCTGAAATTGAGGCAATAATTAATAGCCCACCAACCAAAAGAAGTCCAGGACCAGATGAATTCACAGCCGAGTTCCACCAGAGGTACGAGGAGGAGCTGGTACCATTCCTTCTGAAACTGTTCCAATCAATACGAAAAGAGGGAATCCTCCCTAACTCATGTTATAAGGCCAACATTATCCTGATACCAAAGCCTGGCAGAGACATAACAAAAAAAAGAGAATATTAGATCAATATCCCTGATGAATGTGGATGCGAAAATCCTCAAATACTGGCAAACCAAATCCAGCAGCACATCAAAAAGCTTATCCACTATGATCAAGTGGGCTTCATCCCTGGGATGCAAGGCTGGTCCAACATATGCAAATCAATAAACATAATCCAGCATATAAACAAAACCAAATACAAAAACCTCATGATTATCTCAATAGATGCAGAAAAGGCCTTCGACAAAATTCAACAATGCTTCATGCTAAAAACTGTCAATAAATTCAGTATTGATGGAACGTATCTCAAAATAATAAGAGCTATTTCTGACAAACCCACAGCCAATATCATACTGAATGTTCAAAAACTGGAAGCGTTCCCTTTGAAAACTGGCACAAGACAGGGATTCCCTCTCTCACCATACCTATTCAACATAGTGTTGGAAGTTCTGGCCAGGGCAGTCAGGCAGGAGAAAGAAATAAAGGGTATTCAATTAGGAAAAGAGGAAGTCAAATTGTCCCATTTGCAGATGACAGGATTGTATATTTAGAAAACCCCATCATCTCAGCCCAAAATCTCCTTAAGCTGATAAGCAACTTCAGCAAAAGTCTCAGGATACAAAATCAATGTGCAAAAATCACAAACATTCTTATACACCAATAACAGACAGAGAGCCAAATCATGAGTAAACTCACATTCACGATTGCTTCAAAGAGAATAAAATACCTAGGAATCCAACATATAAGGGATGTGAAGGACCTCTTCAAAGAGAAGTACCAACCACTGGTCAATGAAACAAAAGAGGACACAAACAAATGAAAGGACTTTCCATGCTCATGGGTAGGAAGAATGAACAGCATGAAAATGTCCATACTGCCCAAAGTAATTTATAGATTCAATGCCATCCCCATTAAGCTACCAATGACTTAGTCCACAGAATTGGAAAAAAAACTACTTTAAAGTTCATATGGAACCAAAAAAGAACCCACATTGCCAAGGGAATTCTAAGAAAAAAGAACAAAGCTGGAGGCATCACATTACCTGATTTCAAACTATACTACAAGGCTACAGTAACCAAAACAGCATGGTACTGGTACCAAAACAGAGAGATAGACCAATGGAACGGAACAGAGCCCTCAAAAATAACACCACACATCTACAACCATCTGATCTTTGACAAACCTGACAAAAACAAGAAATGGGGAAAGGATTCCCTATTTAATAAATAGTGTTGGGAAAACTGCCTAGCCACATGTAGAAAGCTGAAACTGGATCCCTTCCTTAATCCTTATCCAAAAATTAAATCAAGATGGATTAGAGACTTAAATGTTAGACCTAAAACTATAAAAACCCTAGAAGAAAACCTAGGCAATACCATTCAGGACATAGGCATGAGCAAGGACTTCATGTCTAAAACACCAAAAGCAATGGCACAACAAGCCAACATTGACAAATGGGATCTAAGTAAACTAAAGCGTTTCTGCACAGCAAAAGAAACTACCATCAGAGTGAACAGGCAACCTACAGAATGGGAGAAAATTTTTGCAATCTACTCATCTGACAAAGGGCTAA